GTTATTCAGCCTGTCTGGAGCATATATATATATATCTTTCTCTCAATTATGTTATGTTATCTGAAAGCCACAAATTTTAGTGTTAATTGGACTTTTGCTCTCACTTCTGCCGTCTCCGGTGGGGGGAAGGGAGAGAACATCGTGGGTACAGTGCTTTTGGCTTTYGGTCAAGTTCAAAACCACAACATTTTTGGTGCAGTGACTCGGATTGGGAAAAATCAGGATTAAACCCAYGACACTCTCCCTGTGTAAAAGAACATTCCAAGGAGCACATACAGTAATGCATACGCGTTTGGGTACTCCACCCACATGAACAGACGTARGAACTTGTAATCAGTGGCTTCATATCTTCTGCAACAAATGTTTAGATCAAATTTGCTGCCAAGCAGCTCTGCACAGGTATGTTGTTATCTCAACTCTTGGTGCCACACATTAGGGGCCAAATAAGGCTGTCACAGTTTAGGAATGGTACTCTCCAATTTAGTGTTTCCACTGAAACTCATCAAACCATGYRTTCACTCGCTCCTGCTCTCTCTGTCCTTCCCCCTGTTGGGGCTGGAGAGGAGAAMTGGAGGCTCAACAGAGTAAGGATTGAGAYRAGAAAAGTTTACTGGAAACAGCAATGAGATATGGAAATGAACAGTAACAACAACAGCAGTAACAACCAATGACAAAGGGTACAAAAAATGACAAGGGCTTTCCTTGGCAATGACCTGAGGTGGCAGAGAACAACCTCTGGGTCCTACSAGGCCCCCTGATGACTTCTGCAAATAATTAACCCTGTCCTAGCCAGAAACAGCACAAAAAGATACCAGAAACTCACTYAGCATTAAAGGTTTACATCTGCAATAACAACCCAGAGTCCAAATTCAATCAGTTACTCCTACACAAGCTTCAACAGGCTCCAGTCTCTTCCACAGGATTAACTTCAACCTAATTTATAGTGACAGCTGACAGTCCAGCTTTCCTTTAGACATTTCAGAASTCAATATACCCTGGGAAATGGAGATAAATTCTTCACTTTTCCTCTTTTAAGAAACCAAACATTCTTCGACAACTCAAACACAATGACTGCCTCGGGCCTCAGCTGTACCACTTGTCCATTTAGGGGCAGGTTAGATGTAAACATCTGTAAAACTCTGGAGATGTGCATTCCAAAAGAGCGACTTCTCAGTGGAGATGAGTGAAGACTGACTGGTGACAAAGACACAGATTTCTCAAAACCAACCAACCAAAACCAATCCCCCAAACAACCTGAAGGAAATGCAGGAAGCAAACCGCTTTAGTAAGGCACTTCTTGATACCCAGAAGCCATGAGATTATGTTTAGACTCCATTTTTCCACTCAGGCAAATTCCATTTGATTGATTCAATGGTCTGCAAAAGCAAACWGGAGAAGGAAGGCTCCCACACTCYGGGAGACAGGGCTCAAGGAAGAGTGCCATTAGCAGGCTGAAAAAAATATTAGAGTCAGAATAGCACAGGAGACCTTGGTTCACTCACATGTGCCTGTGACCTGTCAGGCTGCATCCAAAGGTACTGAGAGAGGAGGCTGATGCCCTTGTACAGCCAGAGTCCAAGGCTGTGAAGAGCAGGCGTGTCCCCAATAACTGGAGAAAGGCAAATATCACACCTGCCTTCAAAAATGGGAAAAACCACCCTGGCAAAGCRCAGTCGGGCCATCAGGCCGTCAGTTTGAGGTAAAATCAAGGAGTGAGACCTCCTGGAGCCCACATGTGGGCACATGAAGGAGGAGACTGTGACAGGAAGCAGTAAGCAAGGGTGTGACATTACAGTCTGGGAGCGATGACATCCTGGCAGGTGAGGACCTGGCTGGGTCGTGGACCAGTCAAGCAGGGTCCCTCAGAGCTTGCCCTGTTCAGTCTCTGCACCARAAACCTGGAAAACAGGATGTGCAGCCCTAGGGATTGAGCACATCTGGGACATGGTCCTGGGTGTTGGTGGGCTGAGAGAGGGACAACCATGTGCCTGGGCAGCAATGAGGGCCAGGTGTGAGAAGGASATGGCCTGAGAGACGGGGACAGCAGGCCCTGTCCCCTCTGCTTGGTGCTTGTCCATCCATATCTGCACACCACCTGCAGTTTCAGGCCTCAAGACAGAATAGACACCAGCAAACTTAACACAGAATAGACAGCAGCAAACTGGAGAGACTCCAGGGGCAGAGGGGCTATTCTGGTGGCAGACAATGGGGCTGGAGCCCTTGGTCTCTGAGAAGTGGCTTTTGGACARGGGATGGTTCAGCTAGGACAAGAGATGGCTTCAGGGGCTCCAACACTGATGGGACAGGATACAGGAGATGTGGATGGGCTCCTCAGTGAGGCATGGCAGGAGGGTAAGGGGCAGCAGCACAACTGAATCATGCAAGTCTGAGGCTGGAAACAAGAAGGCTTTTTTTGCGGGAGGACAGCCCAGTGGTGAACTCAGGATCTGGGGAGGGTGAGCTGTCTCCATCCTTGGGAGTTTCATACAGCTGGCCCTGAGCATCCCTGTCTGACCCCCTCCCGCCACCTCCAGCTGAGCATGCTGAATACTGTATCCATGCCAGCCTGTGATCCCGTGGATACGGGATATGCATTGATACAAAGAAACTTTGTAATGACTTCTTTTTTGCCTCAAAGGCTCACCCAGCAACTGGGGAAGGTGGGGACATCACCAATAGCAAAAGCAGGCTGCTGGGAAAGGAACAGTTTGCACAACAAGGGAACACACAAAGAGTCACACTGAAGTACAAGTGACTGCAGGAGTCAGGCTACAATACCCAGTGCCCCAGCAGGCAGCAGTTTAGATGCTGTAACTAAAACCTACACCTAAAAGGCGAGATATATAAGCAACTTGTGAGATGTATAAGGATCGGCAATTTGATGCTGCCTTTCTGAATACTCGTCTTGTGAGGTCGGTCTAACTGCTSTCTGCAATGTTTTTGTGAGTGCTGCACAGGAGAGTAGATAGACACCATTGCAACTCACCAGGGGAGCATGGACAAATGTGCCAGGTAATTACTCAAATTTGATTCACAACTTCTAAATGGAGTAATTCCACTTAGAATTAGCAAATCAGTTGCATAACCCATTCACAAACTGTTTCCATTCACAAACTGTTTGCAAACCGTGGAGGTTCTCTACAAAAYAAATCATTAAGAGATTTCATTTCCCTGCAATATTAGGTCAAATTACAGTAGGCATCAAGAATATCCACATGATTTTTGGACTGTTGTGGAAAATTGCAGAACTCAGGAGGCCCAAAACCTGTTTCATTGCTGATCTAATAAATATAATATAACCAGTCATAACAATCATATGAAAATTATCTTTTCTTGTTAGGAGCAGAAAAATTCTCCAAGAAYAAAGCTTTTTGTACACTTTGAGATATACAAGGAAGAAGACAAGAACAGTTAGCATTTGGATTTACTTGCAAGTGAAGGGCTGACTGAACTGAGCATTAAACACCCGCACACATTGTGCCTAGACAGACCAACAAATTGGATTCATATTAATCTAAAAAGCATGAAAATGCATGTCAGAAACTGAAAGAAACAACTACAAGAAAAAAGGCACACACAGGTAGGAGATGTCTTGACAGAGAAAGGTGAAAGAAAAAAACAAGCCCATCCACTGCAGTGCCCATTTCCTGTTTCCCTTCCTACCTCTCCCCCTATCTATACAATAGATAGATTGTATTCTATCTATACAGCTAAACTATGTTTGAATAGGAAGCTGATTTGGTGGTAGCTAATCTTGGTTTGGTTTTCCATTTCTGTGGGTTAATTTTTGTCCTAATACCCTTCCCAGACCAATTAACAACACGGTCCCTGAGGGGGGAAGATGTAGAGAACTATAGAATTGCTGTAGTCTTGATTTAGATGGAATTAAACGACTATATTTTGAAGGACAAGGTAACCTGAGTTTTGGCAGCCTGAGTATCTGCAGGTTAGCAGGAAGCATTAAAATATCCCCTGCATTTCTTCTCTCAGAAGATCTGCAAAAATCTTCAAATCTCTATTCTTCTACTCTAAAGCAAAATTTGAGTAAAATATTCTCTTAGAGAGAGCTGGCACTTTCTGAATAGAAATGTAAATAATTTTCCTTACAATGCCAGCACCATTCTGCAYATCAGCCCTTTACAATTATCTGATTTCAGGAGTAATTTATTGATTCCTTGTAAAACATGACTCTCATAAACCTTAGAAGCAATGTAAAACATGAAGCATAATGAAAAGGCAGATAATCATATTAACACGGGTTATGGRACTACTTGACACCAGCTTGCTAGTCACAGTTATTGCCTCAGCCTTCAGATGTCCTTAACACAAATCAAATGGAAGTTGAACTTTTTGTTCCAACAATTGATAATTTAATAGCATAAATATATGGTACCAAAATGTAYTTGGTAATAACAGCTAAACAACAAATATTGCATTGAAAACAACAAACTAATACAAGTTACAAAATACAATTTGCCTGAAAAAAACACAACACTAAAGCACCAAAGTGATGTAATTTTTGTTGCTTGCCTTCCCAAAAWAAAGGGACTCAGAATCTTCATTGCAGAAAAGATTAAAAATCTTCAGAAAACTTATTATCAGGGATGTTTCTTTCACCCTTTTTTCTCCCTTTATTTTCTTCTTCTTTCCATAATTCTCACTGTTCTCTATTGCTTTTGACCCAATCTCCTTCAAAAACTCAGGATATGGCTAGAATTGTCTCTCATTTAAAAGCACAATTCTGCCTTTCATTCCTCAGGAAGAGATAAAACAAGCTCATGCACACAGGGTATTGGGAAGAATTTTCTGTTGCAAATAATTAAAAGTTATCACACAATTTATTCCACTTGCATTTATACTAAGCATTCTCCAGCCTAYCCCTAGGAATGCAGTTCTGACCATAAAACAGGAAGGATTTTTCTTTTGTCATTGCTTCCTTGATTGGGATTACCTATTACTAGGTCACAATAAAAATCATAGATATATATTTATGCTCTTACCTGATTAAATTCTGGCACACCTGGCATCCTGCAGGACATCTGTGATTAAAGCTTGATAGTTAATATGTTATTCTATAAAATAAGATCACTGTAATGCAATTCTTGCAGTATCAGCTCAACAGAGAAAGAATTCCCATCAGCAACAATACAGGCTGTCATCTCTGGCACTAACCCCCAGAAAATGTGCTGGATGACTTCAGTGATTTGTTTGGCATTTCACAACTCAGACCACATGTCAAACCTGCATTTCACAGATGAGTTATGTGTGTTACACTATCCATGTGTTCAAAACCACAGGATAAAAATTGGAGGTTTGCATTCCCAGAACGTGATCTCTTCAAATTTATCTAGGCAACACCACCCACTAGATACACAATCTGGAATGCCAAGTTTGTTTGTGTTCTCAGGGAATAAAGCACAGGTTGAGGATTTGATCTCTTCCTTACTCCTTTCAAATTCTACACCAGTCTGAGCAGAAACTTCTGTATCAGAAGACTGTGATCAGCAGCAGAAACTACTCTGAGGATGGGAAAAAATGGAGCAGCAGTAACACCACATAAGTCAGTTTCCTAATTGGATACTAGCTCGTTACTGGACTGAGAGAAACCAACCTAAGAAGAATACTAAGGTTAATTGCTGGCAATTTCCAATTCAAATATAATTTCATTTAAAACATACTGGTGATGGGATCCATGAAAACCCACAGACTGGCAATCACTGACTGAGACACTAAAAAACATTCTCCAAACCAAACACAATGCCCATAAAAAATTATTCTGATTCTTTCAAATGTAACAGAAAAAAAGGAGAAATTAATTGTTTTACCTGTGTGGATCTTTCAAGCTGGGAATAATGTGTGCACATTCTCTTTTACTGAAGACCTCTTCAATCCAAGATTTGGGGGACTAAAAAGACATTTCAAATTTAATTGTAATCCTGAACTTTGGAACGCGATGTCAAAAATTGCACTGTAATGATAATATGGCTGTATGCAGATAATATAACTCAGAGCAATTCCCATTCAGAGCTGTAGTTTCAGCTTGTTTCATGTCAGGTGAAAGACTGCAAGCTGTCTTCACCTCCTTCCCTTCACCTCCAAGTTTTACAGGATTCCCCAAAAAGATCAATATTTGAATTCACTGCCACCATGAAAATTATTTATGTTCTGTCAAGCACATGTACAATAGARTAAGTAGCAAGAATTAATCAAAATTACTTAAAGGATTGCACTCTCCTTCTGCCAAAAGACTAGCAAACTGCAATCTTACTGAAGCTGTGTCAAAAAGGGCAAGATTTTAATTTTATCTGAAAGAGATGGCTGAGTCTTCTTTTATTATTCTTCACAGGTCAAGAACAGTTGTGTTCTGGTTATATTTGTGCTGAAATAGCACTATTCACACTCTGATCCATTTCACTAGAGTGGAATGCAAGAGCAGAGACCTTGACCCAGCCCTCAGGTGGATGACAGGTRGGCTTTCTGCCCTGGCCTTCAGGTAAACTGTCAGTGGTGCCTGTTACAGCTGAGCAAACTGAACAGGCACTATGGCACATAGATTTTTGTCAAAAAGTCTCATTGGAGAATTTTTGAACCTTTCTCTTCAGGTCTTTCAGGATCAAATTACCTGAAAGGAACAATAATTCTTGCATGCTGAACTTTGAAATCTCTGGGACTGAATTTAGTAATTATTCTTGATTTYATATAGGTAAAATCTTGACTTAACATAAAATTTACAGCAGAACATTAAATTCTCAGTCTAAGGCTTTGCTTAGGCTTTTAGGCTGATTGTATTATCAGGAAAGGGGGTTTAAAACTTCATGCATTTTACAGTCATCCATGACTTCAGGGCTGGGAAAGTAAAATKAAAAGAGGAGACTTCTGAACAACAGATTCTTCTAGTCTAGCTCTTGGTTTCTAGTTTTGTAAAAGAGTTCTGTAACACGTACATCTCCTTTGCAAACTCTGACTAACATTCCCAAATTGTCATAATTTAATTACATTTCAACAACAAATTAAAATGTTTCTAGTCCCTACAGTGAGGCACATATATCTGAGCCACCTTCAATGCGTATCCTTTTCACCACCAAATCCTAAAGGAGACAAAAATACCTCTACTTGTTCCTTCTGATTGGCAAATTTCTGTTCTGATATACCAAAGACTTGAAGCCAAGATTTTACTGCAGCTTTCCTTCTGATTTTCCTCTAAGGAAGTCCTGACACCTTTGTTTGGGAGTTTTGGCTTCTCTTTGCTCACCAGTCTGAGGATTAGGATTGCTGCTTATAATTCCCTGCCACAGAAGAGATTTCTAGAGATTTGGAGATTTCTAGACTGATTTAGTCAATGGAGTGGCAAGAGTTTGGCTCTGAAATTTAAGGCACATGAGTAGTTTTTAGAAAATTGCTTTCAATCACTTTTCCAATATATTCAATGTCTGAGATCCTTGCATAATATGGTATTAAAAGGACACTGTCAGGTCAAATTTGGTTAAACATAACTAATGTTCAAAAATTAAGGTTTCCAGAAGTAAAGAAAGAAATCAGAGTGTAAAGCACAGGCAAACAAACACATGCAGCCCCACTTCCTTTCAAATTCTTCCCGATGAGCAGCGAGAGCAGACAAGACCTAAAAAGCCAGGCCAGCACAGATACCAATATTTTCTAAGAAAACATCGTGCTGCTCTGGACACTTTTCAATTCCATGCAAACGAAAATTAAAAGGCACACATCTTTCTAGAAGAATAATTTTGTCCATTATTGAAATACAAATTATTGAAATACAAAACAGCAGCAGTTGTCTTTGATGACACACTGTAGCTCCAGACAGGTGCACATAATTAGAAATCACACAATGACTAGCCAGTTTACATAACAGGTTAGTTCATTTAGGCAAAGCACAGTTGTGCTGGAAATTAGGCAGAACAATCGAGTTGTAAGTAGCTTACTGAAACTGCAAAAATTTGTACTGATAACAGAGAAACAAAGTCTTAGCTAAAACAGTACTTGAAGAACTGAAAAGTTCTGTCAAGCACCATACCTCAGCTCTGCACACACTGTATATTTAGTGAAACGAGTACACAATGTCACTTCCAAAGAACTGGAGATTTCTAAAAGACCTTAATTTCTAGGGCCAGTAATTCTGCATTGTTGAACAGGTTTGCCAAAATTTTAGCAAAAAAGAAACAAAAAACGTATGCATCCAGATTTTTCCAGATGAGAAATTCTTTCTCACCATTAAAATTATCAGAGGAAAGCAAACATTCATCAAAAAAGCAACAGCTGATCCTGGGGCTAAAAGAATTGCCTCAGGACCCAAGTATACAGCACCTGTAAAGAACCTTTCTGATGATGTCAATAATCAGAAATGCCTGAAAGATCCAAAGTGACTTTTAGTGCCTGTGAAGGAAGCAGGTTCTATTTGCAGGTGAAAGCATGTCTGTGAGAAGTCAGCATAGTGCAGTCCACAAAGACCAACCTTTATTCAAACACCTCAGAGGATGAAAAGAACTTTCCCTTATTACAGCTACTGCAAGAATCCACTGCAAGCTGAGTGTCCTAAAATACCTTAAACAYTTTAAAAAGTAAGTTCACATATATCAAGTACGTGCAATAACACAATATATCTGAAATGCAGTCAGAGCTCCTGTTAGCTAGCACTCAAGAGTATTTCAGAAGAGCTTGGGGTTTAAGTGCATTGGTGTCTCTTGAACCCTTTCTCCTGGAAACTTCATGKCAGCTGGTAAATTACTGTAAGCAGTAAAGAGACTTCCAGCTTATCAGGCTGTCTCACGTAAGCTTTTCAGAGCAGGAACTTTGTGGTTCAGCATCCACTCCATGCATGCTTTTGCTATGAAGTAATAAACCAATTGATGGCTAAACAWGGAACACCACTTTGGATCCACACGGGGTAGAAAGAGCATTGCAAAACTCCAGTCACATGCAGTAAGATATGAACCCATGTGAGGTTTTCAGTGACCTCTTAGGTCTTCTAAAATTTCCTTGTGTTCAGGCTACACTGACACAGGACATGCCCCTGGCTTTGTAACACAGACATGCCATGGCTCCTCTGATCTCCATCCCCATGATACATCRGTACCTCTGTTACTAACAAGCAGCTTTTCCTTTTCCAGTCCTTCTCACCTATTYCTTTGCCCCAGATTCTGCCGAAATTCAGAATTGTAAACAAGTGAATCCACCAAAAAAATCTCATCACTAAATTTCACAAATGTTTAAAAGTATTGTGCTAATAATTTCATTTGAATGCTTCCACTGTTTATCAGTTCACCATGGCCAATTATAAAAAAACTACCAGCTGAGCTCAAACTGCCTTTGCAGGCAGACTGCAGATTCAGTAGCACCAAGAAGGTTTTGCATTTTCCCTTTTAAAAGACAGTATATAATCTCAAGTCACAGCAGAATTTCTGTAATTATTTCCTTGTAACCAATTCAAACTCATCTGCTGGATATGTGTTCTTAGATGTTCACAAATACAGCAGAAACACTAACAGACATCACCTGTGCTTGCAGGATAAATGCAGACACAAGTCAGAGRGAGATAACAGAACTTCCTATAACTCTTCAGTCATGCTGAAGAGAGGTTTTAGAATMTTTTCCCTCAGAACAAATGTAGTCTTTGAGCCTCCCAAAAACATATAGATTCAATCTTCACTTTGCAGAGTGCTATGGCATTTTCTTTCACAGTATTCAACTGCACTCCAAAGCTAAGTATGCATGCTTAAGTGATTTTCTGGATTAGACTCTTGCATCAAATGCATTATAAAACCATTTCCACTATTTTGAACCCAAGCTTAGCCAAAAAAACAAAACCCCTTTGACTTTAATGGGCTTTCCAATGTGGTGCTTTTGATCCAGAGCAGACCACACAACACAGCAAATATCAGTAGGGTTATGACAACAAAATGCAGGAAATAYTAAAACCAAAACCCTCCTTGTGAAAAAAACTTCAGCTTAACTCCTGGGTCACTGAGAACAATGAACTGATAGAAAGCTTATCCTAGTCTGGAACATTAGACCTTTAATTCGTTTATTACTTTCTACTTTTTAGGTTTATTAACTACTCAAGTAAGCCTTTCTGCTATCCCTGAACATGCAATGTTTCAGAAAAACACATCAAACAGCACTTGGATATGCTCCAAGAGCATATCCAGCTCAGAATGTGAGTGCTCATGGAGAGACTGCTGGTTTGCAGCTGGAGGGGCTGAGCAGACCTGTCCCCCTGCAGACACCATGGCACTGGACTCGATGGGCAAGGCCACACAGGACCTCACATTAACCCTGCTGCCAAAAACCCAAGCTTGACAAAGGAGCTAAACAGAGGAAATCTCAAATGACAATTTCTATTCCTCAGACCTATCCTTGAAACAGGTCCCACAAACATTGCTAGAAATCTTATGTTGTCACTGGACATCTGAGAATTACTTACGAAMAGGTTTCCCCAACTGGAAATGTAAAAAGTCTTTGTGATGTGACACATATTTCAGTCTTCCACATACAGTGGGTCACTCCAAAACCCACTGCTCTAGAAGCATGATGATTGTTGAGAAAGTTTGGCTCTGATGGCTTTGTAACTATGGCCCATACAGATAATGAAAAAAATCCGTGCTTGTGGCTGATGGCAGCCACCTTGATAAAAGCTAACATTTGGGTTACTTTGGCACTATATACACTATAATACTGTATCTCATCTCTTATAAAATCAATTTTATGAGTAGCGTAAAATATGGATTATTGAACAACTTAATCATACATAAAGGTACAGAAATACATCTTCTAAATATTTTAATTGATGGAAAACAGTCCAAATTGAAGAATAAATWATAGGGCATGCCCAAAACATGCAGCAACCAAGAGCAGGCACCAATAATAGAGAAAAAAGGGCAATTTCTCTCA